GTATATGGTTTGTCTATCAACAATCTGCTGGTGGGTACTACCGAATATTCAGATATTCAATCAAATTGAAGGTTGAATACTCAAAAAGTGAATTATTTGAATTGATTCAGCCCTAATGCAGGATTGCTGTTTTGTTAAATTTAAGTCGTACAGTAGGCCCCAGCGAGCTGATTGCTTGAGTGGCGAGCTATACATACCAGTATGCAGTTGGTTGGTTGTTTGAGTCCTACCTGGCAGCACTTGTGAATATTTGCAGGGATTTTTGGACAGTAAGCATGTAGTGCTTATAGGTTTACAAGTGGTGTCAATTTTCAGAACCAGTCGTTAGAATTTACATTGGACGCCATTCTACCAAAAGTCATGCTTAAATTTCTACTTAAGTCTCCTCTGTTAATTCTTCCAGGCTTTGCGACGTATTGGTGGTGCCCCCTGCCTCAAGACCAATGTGGACTGTATGACCTCCAATCGTATTGTACGACTGCCTGGCCTAATTGATGTCCATGTTCACTTGAGGGAACCAGGAGCAACCCACAAGGAAGACTTTGCCTCAGGGACAGCCGCTGCCTTGGCTGGTGGTATCACCATGGTGGGAGTTATGCCCAACACTAGCCCTGCTGTCACTGATAAACCTTCCTTCCTACTTGCACAGAAGGTACAGAAAATGTTGTCTCTTGGGTTGGCATTTTCATTCAGTAATAAAGTATTTTTATCAAGTGCACATATGTACAAGTTCTTGCACTCACGGCACTAGATCATTATTATCCCTACTCACTAGGCCCATAAGCATCCCTTAAACCATCTTGGCTGTCCAGAGATTTGGCTTGATGCTGCTGTTTCAGGCAGCTAATAAAACAACCATCTCTGCCTCCATGGTTACCCACTCTTACAAGAGTAAAGTAACTTGCCTGAGGTCACAACATGTATGTACATGTATGCCCAGGTGTAGAATAGGAACCTTTCATCTTGTGATTGAGGATGCCAGTGTCACGTGCTCCTCACACAGTTTCACCCTTCGGCAAAGAAAATACCAAAATTCTTACACAAATATCAGATTTAACAGGGCTCAGAAGAGTATTATGATGTTTATTTGAATTCTGTGGGAAAATTGTTTGATGACAAAACTCCAACCCGATTTTTGATTGGCATCCATAGATAAGCATGTGATGAATAGAGAAGTGTACATTGCTGAAATTCAAAATTTTGTGAAAGTGTACATTTTTATAGTTAGAAAAAAATTTCCTTGAATATCTGATTGCTTGTGTTTTATTTGTAAACTGCTCAAATCTTAGATTACATTGCTTCTTGAATATACTAAGATTTGCTCTTTAGTTAATTTCATGTGATTTAAATTGAAACCTTGATCCAATATCATACTTTGTCTGTAGCTGGCACGTTTGGGAGCCCGCTGTGATTATGGTCTGTATGTTGGAGCAGCTGCCAATAATATCAATGACCTGGTCAGCATTGGTCCTAAGGCCATGGGGCTCAAGATGTACCTCAATGATACCTTCACCACATTGCGAATGGACAATGTCTGCCTATGGCAAGAGGTCAGTACAAATGTTAATTTCTCAATATCTTGCATCCTTACCAATTGTATTCATTTTTGACTCGAGCATGCTTCTGTATCTGGATGTACAAACACCTTCAAAATTCAATAATCCAGCCCAGATTTTTCCCTAAGTAGAGTGTTTGCTGTAGCTTAATGTATAAGCAAATTCTTCATTTGGCTGTGTTGACATTCAAAATTAATTCTCCAACAGGGAAGTTTACTTGTATTTACTGAAAAAGTATTTTTGCAAATTTGAAGTGAACAAATTGAAGTTGCTATCCGCCTTGAGCAGAAGCACCCTCTCATCGGTTGAAAAGAGCTATATTGGTCGGAACTGGTCATTTTGTTGGTAGCATAATGTGTGCATTTCATAGTTGTTCGTGAACCAACGAAGCTCAATCCCAACCACAGGGGCCTCCGTTGCAAAGACAATTGTGCCCTCTCTTGGTCCATCTTGAGGCTCATTGAGGGCGTGCCTCTTAAATGAAATTGATGTGGTCAAAAGCACTCCCTGATTGCCCTGAATGTGCTTGTTTTATAAGCATGCTACATGTCACATATATTATGTGGGATTGAAATTGGACATTTGTACTTTTCGTGTTTGCTACTTGTGCCTAGCCTTCAAATGCTACTGACTGTATGTTCAAGGTGCTCCACCCATCAAGATATTACAGTACATTAATCTATGTATTCTACCAGGCACCCTCTAATGTCTACTTCCGTTGCCTGTCCCCTTTCACGTAATTAGGCCCTCCAAACTTGCTTTTCATTCAAAATTTATTTATCCCATTTTCCCTCTGTATATTTTGTATCTTTTGTAGCATTGTAAGAACTGGCCCCACCACCCACCACTGGTTGCTCATGCCGAGGGCTGCACCGTGGCAGCCATCTTGTTCTTAGCTAGGATGTTTGATCGACCGATCCATATCTGCCATGTGGCTCGCAAGGAAGAGGTTGGTGTAGCCATTGGGAAAGTGCTTCATATGGGCTTTTCAGAGGGATACACACACATCAAATCCAAACATTGCAAAATGCATGTTAAAATGAGAATGATTTGTTCATGAGATTTCAAAAAGCTCTGGATTGTCTTGTTTCTACATATAGTTTTATTGCCGTAAATGTACATTTGCTTGTAACCTCTCAAGTCTACGAGAAAAGATGCCAGTTTCAGCAACTAAAATGGAATATAACCATTTTACAAATGATGTACTTGGTCATTACATTGTTCAGTTTCCTACTGAATGTTTTTATATATTATTTTAAGCTGATGAATTCTTTCCTCACCGGATGTTTCTGTTTAAGGGCATTGTTGCCCGGTGAACATCCAGGAGAGAGTGATTTTAAGTTCAAAGGTGGCCGTAGTCCTGGTGGAAGCTGTTGCGGAGTAAATGAGGGCATCATGTCTCATTATACAATAATGCAAAAAGTTGTAGACTTTCATTCATACAGTTGATTTGAAATTGTGCATTTGATGTCTCTTGATTTGTTCTTAGATTGCGGTGATTCGACTGGCCAAGGAGTCAGGTATGAATGTCACCTGTGAGGTTGCACCCCATCACCTCTTCTTGACCTCTGGTGACCTGGATAGCAAAGATAACGTCAAGCCTCCGTTGTGCTCCCAGGAGGATCAGAATGCACTGTGGGAGAACATGGATATCATTGACTGCTTTGCTACTGATCATGGTAAGGAACATGGAAAGTTTTTTCTGGCAAATTTCTGACATGCTCTGTCAAAACCAGATACTTATAGGCAGAACTTGAAATGTGACCAAAAGGGATTTCCCCTCTGTACCATCATGAAAATTCTTTCGCCCATGAAGAGAGTTCATTTTCAAACATTAATCCATTAGAGTAAGCCTGGCGATTTGTCCCTGGACAATTTTTCAAGCCTATTTTCAACCACCCACCCAAAAGCATCTGGTTTTGAGAGAACCTGCTTTGTGACTCAACAAAGCATGGAAATCTTTAATTCTCATATAAAGTAGATAGACAGTCAAGATTTGTTAATCATTATGATATGCAGTTCAGGCTGGTGCAAATTACTATGATATGGGTCATAGCATTTTGATCCAAAGTACACATGGCCCTATTGTGAAACATAAAAGATGGTATTCATTTCCAACTTAGGCTTTAGTTTGTACTGGCAGCGTTTGTGTGACATACATGTACAGATAAATAATATGACAGTTGCTTGTATGTACTTGACCTGTTGGTTTTTGAGTAATAGAATTGCAATATCTTGGTATCAGCTAATTCAGTTTGAGCCAGTTGGCAGGGTGCACCTTATCTTAGGCACAGAAAGTACTGAATTTCATAATACTGAAGAGGTTGTGCACCAATTTAAACAAGAGTTGACATGTGGGGATTCTTATTTGGGAGCTGTCATTTTGGTCAGTTTCTATGGTTGCTTGAAACAGGAAGAATACGTCAACCATCCAAGCTTTCTATGTTACTCACTTGTTTGCGGAATGAAGCCTTGGCCATTTACTCCATTGGTTTTTCTTGTAGCTCCACACACTGTAGAGGAGAAGGAGAGTGCTAATCCTCCACCTGGTTTTCCTGGACTGGAAACCATGCTTCCCCTCCTGCTCACTGCTGTCAATGACGGACGTCTAACCATGGAGGTGGGTTACAAGACCTATCATTATTACAAGTTTTATTGATTTTTACTCGGCCAATAGAAAACAGACATATCACTGAAGATATTTGACCATTAACTTCAGTTGTCATCTGCTTTGTTAACTCAGGATGTTGTTGATCGCTTGTACCACAACCCCCGCCGTATATTTGGCTTGCCAGAGCAACGAGATACCTACATTGAGGTTGACATGGACCATGTCTGGACTATCCCTAAAGCAATGCAGTTCACCAAGAGCAAATGGACACCTTTTGCTGGTTGGAAGGTCAAAGGTCAATTGCGAAGGGTTGTCCTTAGAGGGGAAGTTGCTTTCATTGATGGTCAGGTAAGTAATGCCGTTTGCTACTGTCTAAGATTGGCATAAAATAAGGTAAAATTACTGTCGTGGTAATAACACTTTAAAAATGAAACCTTTGATAAAGTATGCTGATGTTTACCAATTTAACACATTCTTTTGTGAAGTAATCAACGCCACATACATTTTCTTAACCCCTTCCGGCCGAGATTCTTTTGACCATGACTCTTTTGACCATGACTGCTGGGCTGTGGTACGCCCAGAATGCAAAGCTCTGTCCAGCAGCAGGCCCCATTGATCCAGCAGCTGCATGGTGAATAGACTGCATGTGTGGTATACACTAATCCTCACACAAAGCCGCGGCTGTGGACGGTTCCAGTGCGAAGGGGTTAATCACAAATAGATTTAAGATTCTACACTTTCCTTTTGAAAAAACAAGAGGCCCACCCAGCTTACTTACATTTCCCATTTCAGTGGCATAGACATCAATAAACCAAGTTTTTGTTTAATTTACTTTGTACAACCAAGTAAATAAGCAGTTTCATAAGCCCTAAGCCTGCCAAATGCAAAAGAGTTTGTCAGATGTAAAGAACATTTAGACTTATCATTCAGACTTTGCATTTGGGTAGTCCAAAGCATCAAGTTAGACTGTTAATTCTTAGCTCATGGAAACCAGTCCCATTGAATGATGTCAGTATTGGATCCTGTGGCAAGCTGGTAATCTGACACTTCTAGATGTTAAATATGATTGACCCGTTGGATCATACTTGAACAATTGTTGCAAGTTGTTGAATGCCATGGGGTTTCTAACCAAAGTACCCTTCAGGCCTATTAAGGGAAAGGAACGAGACCTGTTTTGAATTCACATGGTGTTTTCTTTCTCCTAGGTCCTGGTCCTACCAGGTTTTGGTCGTGATGTCCGCACAGTGACTGACAGTATCGTCTTCCCATCGACCATGAAGCATACTACCAGCTCTGGCCCAGTTCCTTCCATCAGACCCCTGGCCGTCCAGGTGCCACCCTCATCAGCTCCACCCTCTGCTCCCTCTTCCCCACAGAAGATGAACATAGAGCGTTCCGTTTTCAACCTTCCACCCAGGGTGCATAGGGTATCTGAGCACGGAGGTGTGTATGGTTGTTGTCACTCTCTGACTCAATTCCTTCATTAGTTCAGGTATCTTATTTTTTTATCGGGTATGCCAAAGTCTTAGCCGTTCTGAGAAATTGTGCCGTTGGGATTTAAATTTAAATATGTGTCTTTTTAATGGTAGAGTATCTGGACAATGTCCAGTCAAATTGCATTTACATGTGCGCAAAGTTTGATGGAAGCAAAGGAGAGCAATTGAATAGGATTTTAGACTTCCCTCAACAGTAACAGTAATTTTGTCTCCGCCTGTTATTTGCCATTTCATCCAAATTCTGTTAGACATCAAGCCTCAGCCAGTTCTCAGTATGCTTTCAGCGGAAGAAAGAGACAAAGAATTGTTTTCAATTCATTGCATACAACGGTTTTATAGCGTAACAGCACATTTCTTTGACAAAGGGTACATGGGGTTTACATGTAGGAATACCTTTATTTCAGTAAATCTGTTTCCAGTTATGTATACTAAAACATTTGTATCTGTAGGGAAATAGCCGATACTCACTTGGAAAGTTATTTATTCTACAGAGTGTAAAGTTAACCACACCAAAATGGTTGATTTGTTGTTAAAATTACACATTTAAGTACTGTGTGTCTTTGAAACAATTTCTTTGTAGACATCGGCTCACTGTCTCCAAATGTCGCAGCAGGAGGTGCTGCGAAGGCTCTTACCTTCACACCCCCAACCCAGCCTCTCTCCACTCAGGCCACACCCCTAGCTGGTCAGGTGACAGCCTTGGAGTTCCATCCTACTGCTGGTTCTAGCTTACTGTTCAACAAACACATTCTCAGTGCCAGTCAGTTCACCAGAGAACATGTGAGTAGTGGCTGTTAACTTAGAAATCTGTCAAAGCAGTCTTGGGAAGAGTTCTTCATTGACCTCATGTCCTTGCTCTAGGCCTTGAGCAGAGGCACCCCCACATCAGTTTAAAAGAGCCATATTGGTCAGGAATGTTCAGTTTGTTAGTAGCAATGCGATCACAATGTATGCATTTTGTAATCATTTGCAAAGCAGTGAAGTACATTTCCCACCAAAGGAGCCTCTGTTGCTTGGAAAATTGGACCCTGTCTTGGTCCAGCCCAAGACATTTCCTTGACAATACTGTGACAGATGTTTGCGGACCTTGGCACGAATGGAGAAGTCCATGCTTCATTCATCTGCAAGTTTTAGTCCAATCAAAGCAAGTTTGAACAATATTTCACACTGCTTTGTGATTTGCTGGATAACAGCTGTTAGCTCTCTCCTAAGAATTGCTGATACTTTTAGTGGCTGATTATAATTTCTGTTATATCTCACAGCTGCATCATCTTTTCAATGTTGCCCACTCTATGCGCTTTGCTGTGCAGAGAGAAAGAAGCCTGGATCATATACTCAAGGTAGGTGCTTTTTATTCATGCATGCAAAAATGGCACTTGGTAATGATCTTAACTCCGTGTATTTGGCAGTCTAGAGATTGAACTGTGTCCAGTTTCTGTACTTGAAGGCTGTTCCCGAAAAGAAATTTTCAGTTTTTGTAGTCTTTCTGCAAAAGTGTACATGGATCTTGTGTGCACTCCTTTGTAACCTTTCCTATTGTGTGAGCAACATTATTCTGCTCACAGTAATACTTGAAAGATAGAAATGTGAGCCAGGATTGTTTTTGCCCTTTGCTGTGTGTGCGCATGTAACTGCTGTAGTGCGTAATGTTAAGAAGGTCATAGGGTGTGCCAGAGATCTCAAATTTGGTTGTGTGGCTCAGATGAGATAATAATCTTTATCACACATAAAGCAGAGCTGTCCAATTGAAGGCTTTAAGCTTTAATTTTCTGTCTTTAATGATATTCATTTTAATTTAAAACTTTCAACTTTTGTCTTAACCCAAAGGGTAAAGTGATGGCCAGCATGTTCTATGAGGTCAGTACCAGAACTTCCTCATCCTTTGCTGCCGCTATGCAGCGCCTTGGAGGCACTGTTGTCTCCTTCACTGAGAACACCTCATCACACAAGAAAGGAGAGACCTTGGCAGGTAGGCAGTCTAGTTTAGATTCCATTTTATTTTAATTGTTAAGCTCTGCCACACATTGATTTTTACTTTTGAAATTCTGAGTGCCAATGCAGTGGTGGTCTCTACAGAGTGTGATGCTGCATTGGTTGAATGCGTGACTGTGAATGGGGTATTTGTTGGAATCCCACTTCTGACACCATGCATTGATCACAATCAGTAGCAGTATTTCAGGTTGCTTTTGGAGAAGAAATTCATTGCGGCTAGTAGTCAAGAAGTATTCAAATTATATGTTACTGTATGATAATGTTGCCGAGAATACTTCAAAAGACAAAACAGAGAACCAGGTTTAGGTGTCCCAGGAAATCTGTTGCAATCAGTTCTAGCAGTCAGTCTAATCCACATGATGGACTGGTGTATTAGATAGTTGTGGAACAAAAACAACCACTATGAAGTTAAGAACTTGGCAAATTGATTTCATTCAACTTCTGATAATAATCCCCAATTTTAGCCGAGAGCATAGCAAGAATCACATTATTGTGAATGACACTTTTCATCAGTAAGATACTGAGGCATAAATGTTTGTACAATCAAGGAATATCTGCGTACTAGGGATTAGTCTTGTAAGCACACAATGGTGGCAGCCAAATGAAGTCAATTTCTGTGGTATTTCCCTCCTCAGACACAGTCCAAATGATGGCTGGTTACTGTGACGTCATTGTGCTACGTCATCCAGAGCAGGAGGCTGCCCACACTGCGGCTAAGGTGTGTCGTAAACCTATCCTGAATGCTGGTAATGGTGTTGGAGAACACCCAACACAAGCCCTGCTGGATGTTTTCACCATCAGAGAAGAAATTGGAACAGTCAATGATCTAACGGTAACCAAAAAACTACTTTTCAACTCAAAACAGTTTCACAATATATTTTGAGGTGAAATAGATATTCTGAGGTTAAAGGAGATATTCTAAGAAAACTTAAAATTGGAGGAGTCATACCTCTCTCACTTTTGTTTTTAGACTCCAGATTGCTGCAGCTGAAGGTTAGGAAATTCAAAGTTTTTATTGTTTGTAAAATTGATACCAAAACAAATTTTGTTGGATGTTGATTGTTAGCATGGCAACTTATTAAAATCTAGAGTAACTTGTTTTTAGTTGTTTGTACCTGAAAGTATGTATTTTAGAAGTCAAAATCATAGTTTCTGGTATCAAAACATGAATATGCATTGGAGGGAAAGAACCATGGTCAATTAATCAACTGACATCTATCTTAGGAATTCTGGCCACAAAGTACCATTTACAATGTCTAGCAGGTCTTAATAAATTTTGTTGAAGTTTTAGCAATTATTGTATTGGATAATTCAATCTTATGGCAATCTTTGTAAGATAACATCTTTATAGTGAAGTTTGAGGCACATGAAACATATAAACACGTAATTTGTTTGTTTGATTTGGGCTTTATATTGGTTTTTGTTCAATTTCTAGACTAAGACAACCTTTTTTTTTAATTCTTGTACATTTCAAATTCTTTATTTTTGTTGCTAAGATTACCATGGTGGGTGATTTGAAGCATGGCCGCACTGTCCATTCTCTAGCCCGTCTACTGACTCTGTATCGAGTCAACCTGCGTTATGTCTCCACCCAGGATCTACAGATGCCCAAGTCTGTCAAGGACTTTGTCAGTGAGCGTGGCATTCCACAGGTAAGCTGGCCACAGAAGCACAATTATTATTTATAGCAAAAATTACTTCCAGCTAGGTGAGACTTCTGTTTTTTTATTTATACATAACACTATCTTTTGTTTGGTTGGTAAAGTAAAGAAAAATTTATTTATGAAGTGAACTTTTAAAATGTTCTACACAGACCTATACCACTCATGGTGTCACTCTGGGCCAAATTTCTTTAAATGACAAGATACTATAACCAAACCCTTCACAAAACTTCTGCCCCTTATTGATCATTTGTTCAAGACTTATGCCAAATTTCTTATGGCATTGTAGCTTTTTGTACACTCCAAGACAGTGTCACTCATGCTTAACTTCCAGAGTAGTTTAAGTCTTTAATAATGAGCTAGTTTGGTATTCCAACAACACGTGTAACAAAATGAAGCATGTCCAAGGTCATTAAGACACGTTCAAGGTGTGCCCTCTCAGGGTGGCCCTGTGCCGTCTCATGTGCATACTTTGTACTCAAATGACCTTGCTTTTTGGAAATACCCAACTGGCTATTGGAATCACCCAAGTTTGGCAATAAGTACAAGCATCCTCTGTCACTATATGCAGTCAGTGCCACGTGTTCAAACATCCTTCCTTTATTGGGGCAAAAATCAATCCAGGATTACATGTTCTTGTGTAAACTGGTAAAATGAAATAAATTCAACATGCAGTGAATTATGCAATCTTGTGAATTTAGGAGGAGTTTGGTAACATTGAAGAAGCTCTACCAGATACAGATGTGTTGTACATGACCAGGATTCAACAAGAACGCTTTGCTAGCAAGGAGGAATATCAGGAGGTAAAAGATACATGTACACTTGGCAAGGTTTTAGATGTTTGCTTTTTCGGCAAAGTGACTAAATAGAACAGAAAATAAGTACCAATCCTGCCTGCACTGAAACTTTAAGTAAATCAAAACATAACATGGAAAATTTAGTATCTCAAATTAAAAGTTGTCATTTGAAATATAATCAGTGGCTCTAAAAATTATACAGTGGAACGCCGCTATAACAAACAAGACGGGGTCCACGCTAAATGTTCGGTACAGCGGTCGTTCGGTACAGTGAATTTAATTGCCGAACGTTTCGTTGCCATGTTGAATAGCGCCCTCTCTTGTCTAACCAAAGTGCACCGGCACCCTCTTGTGATACATTGGTTCGCTGTTTTCGTGATGTTTTGCCGTTGCATTCAAGTTTAACATTTCTAGAAATGTGTCTGTTAATTATTTTTGTTTTTTTTTTTTATTTAAACTTGTGTCAAAAAATTGATATCAATTTTATCCTAAAAGTCGTGAAACTACCGCTCAGGATCGATCTCTGATGCATGCTGTGGCAAATCTTGGTTGATTTGTTTATCAGCGGCGCCCTCTTTAGACTATTGTCAGTGCAATGCCACCGTGCGCGTACGTGCGGTTTTCTTCCGCACCCGATCATGTGGAGTCACAAAACCAGTGTCTATTCAATACCGTTGACAACTAGTTGCTTTCCCTTCTAATCCTTGGGGAAATAATGACCACTTGTCACTTTCCAACATAAAAAAACACCGACTGTTTTATCGTGTTGACGTTCGGGAATTACAAACGGCAACTGAATCGTGTTCGGTAGGTTCTGTGCACAAAATGTTTGGAGCCAAGGATGATGTTCGTTACAGCCGAACATTCGGTACAGCGGCGTTTGGTATAGCGGCGTTCCACTGTATCTAACTTTTTCCTAGTTCGAGATAATCACTGAAGCTTCTGTGAACAGATAAAAACAAGTTACATAAATTCATTTTTGTTTGACCTTTATTCAGCAATGTGGCAACTTTATCCTGACCTCTCGCATGATGACCCGAGCCAAAGAGAAGATGGTGGTTCTTCATCCCCTACCTAGAATCAATGAAATAAGGTCAGTCTTGTGCTCAGTCAAACTTTATTTCTGCCAGAGCACCCTTTTTGGTCACACATAATCCTGATAAGAGTAATTGCTAAAAGGTTGCTTTGTATTTCAAGAGCAAATTGCAACCCTGATATGAACCTTGGATATGAACACGAAGGCACTTTGTCATCTAGCAAGGATTTCCCCTTCATTCGTTGATGTAGGCAGGTTCGACAAAATATGAGCCATTGGTAACAATGATCTTGGAGGTT